GAAAAAAGAAGGCCAAGCCAGCGACGGCACAAGCGGACCTCATTGTGTCTGAAGCTGATCGAAGCCTTGCCGCTCGTGTCCCACACCTGCCACACACACGAATCGAGAATGTCAGTTATTCCCTGTGAGGAGGCGAGCGGTGGCGCGGTACGCCGGCACCTTCATGGAGTAGAAGGGCGCCACGCGGGCGTTGACGATGGCGTCCCACGCGCCGACGGCCTGGAGCAACCGGGCCGAAGCCGGGTTGACGGACACGACGCGCAGATCGGGCGTCGGCGGCAGCGGGTGGAGCGGGGCCACCACGCTGGTCTCCACCAGTCCCACCCGCAGATGGCCAGTCGCGGGTGTGCTGCCTGCGTGACAGGGCATGGGCACCACAGCCAATCGTGGGCGCACACTGATGAGAAGCAAGCGCGAAGTGGAAGGGAAAGACGGGTTGCGCAGGACAAGGGGGTATAGGTACCGAGCGCGCAGGCCAGAGCGGAGCCCACCATCCCGCCACCAATGATAACCACATCAAAGTCCGAATCTGTGCAGCGGCCTCCCGGTGTGAGGCTGTGCGCTTGTGCATGGGGCATACGGCACGTACGTACCATCTCGTGTGGTGGTCATGAAGCGGAGAGGGGAAGATCTGCCAGATTATTGCATGATGTCAGCAGACGTAATAAATGAGCGATGTAAGCAGTAACACGTACGCCGCGTGAGGAGCCGACGAATGCAAGACCATCGCCGCGCCAGCACCAGGCCGACGCCACAACGCTGCCCTCACCGATCCGCGAGCTGCTCTCATCCTCGCCGCACACAATTTATTATGCATTTCCAGGAGCTTTTTTCTCGAGTGTTTCGTGCGGAAAATGGTTTTCTTTTGTATTTTTTTGTTTGTTTGTTGTGCAGTTTAGGAAGAGAAGGCGGCGACGGCGGCCGAGTGCCGGTGGAGGGCGGACAGGTCGGCGAACTGGCGCTGGAGGGCGTCCTCGCGGGCGCGGAGGGCGTCGAGTTCGTCGTCGAGCGCGGCGAGGCGTGCCGGGAGGGCGCGCTCCTCCATGCCGCGCAGGGCCTCGAAGCAGCGGAGCTCGACGGTGGCCTTGTCCAGGTTCATGTACAGTTCGAGGATCTCCTTGTGAAGGGCGTTGGCTCGGTTCTGGTAGCCGCCGTTGTAGACGGCCAGGCGCTTCTCGAGCTTGGCGGCCTTGGTGGTCTCCTTCTTGGCCTGGGCCTGCAGGGCGTCGAGCTTGGCCCGGAGCGCGGCGAGCCGCTCGTCGCCGGAGAGGGACGAGACGGGGAGGGCGCGCTTCTTGGCCGGCACGTAGACGTACTCCTGGCTCACCTGCTCCCACACTCGCGCGTAGACCTCGGGCGGCACGCGGCCGTTGTGGGCGGTGGTAACGGCGACCTCGTCCATGAGCAGCTTGCGCGCAGCGGTGAGCTCGTCCTCGGTCATCTGCTCGTATGGCGGGTGGGCCTTGGGGGCCTCGCCGCCCTTGATGGGGTACTCGACGGCTTCGTGGATGAGCATCAGGAGCATCTCGCGTCGTGTCTCCTCGTCGGCCTTGCGCAACTCTTCGTCGGTGGCGGAGTCGTCGGTCTCAAGGAAAGCCCGGTTGACGCCGAGCGGCCTGGGCAGGTCACGCTTGAGCACCTGCGAGCGGAGGCGCAGCTTGAGCTCCTCCTGTGCTCGGGCCTCGTCGCGCTTTCGCTGCAGGGCGTCCTCCGAGTCCTCCACCATCTGGGCCTCGGCGTCCTCCTCCTCATCTTCGATCTCGGGCATGAGCAGCTCGTACTTGTTGCTGGGAGCGGGGAGCGACGAGAGACCCATGCGCAACTGCTGCCGCACGGCCTGCTGCCGCTGCTTCTCGATGAGCGGCGTCGAGAGCGCCATGCTGTCGCCCTCGATGGGCTCGTTGATGTGCAGGCCGTCGCGGAGGGGCGTGCGCAGCGGCGTGGCGCCGGCTCGGCCCGGCGTTGCCGAAACGCTCAGCGCACGTCCGCCCTTGACCGGCGTGGCACCGCCGTCGGGCGCTCGGCCGGGAGTGGCGAGGGCGAGCACGTTGGGCGTCTGGACTTCGACGTGGCGAGGTGTGATGCCGCTGAAGTCGCTCGGGTGGAGAGGTGTGTTCTCGCCGCCCTTGAGCGGGGTCTCGCCGCGCGTGAGGGCGATGAGGTTCTGTGCCTCGAGCAGCACGGTGTCCTGCCGCGAGGGAGTGCGCATGTCGCGTGCGGGCGTGCGAAGAGGGGTGGGAGTGGGAGCAGCCGAGTAGTCGGCGAGGAGGAGGCGAGTGGCGCCGCTGCCTTCCTCGAGGGGAAGTGGGGCGCTGGCACCGAGCTTGGCAATCTCTTCCATCTCGGCGTCGCCGATCTGGGGGGCGGGGAGGTTGAGGCGCGTACGGTGGCGAGTCTGATCAGGATCGTTGAGCTTATTGATCTGCTGCACGGCGGCAGGCAGGTCCTTGATCTTGCGCATGGTGACCTTACGAGCGTCCTTCTTGCGCTGGCGCTCTTCCTCCTCATCGCGGCGACGAGCCTCGAGACGTTGAAGTGCGACAGGGACGAAGTTGGGATCGGCGCGGCGCTTCCTCTCCTCGCCCAGCTCGCGGCTCGTGTCGTAGAAGCCAGAGGGCACCTTCTTCTGGAAGGGGATTTCCTTGAGGTAATCGATGCCCTTCATCTTGCGTCGCCTCTCGGGGATGTGTAGACCGGCAGCCTTCAGCTCGCGCTTCTTCTGAAGGGCGGCCAATCGTCGAGCCTCCTCCAGCTGCTTCTCGCGCGCCTTCCTCTTGGCCTTCTTACCCTTCGTGTTGGCGAGACGCGCTCGCGCTTCAGACAACATCTCCTTCTCATCTTCGTCCATGTCCACCGGGTCGGGCCGAGCCGGCTTGGTCTCGGGCTGGGGGTCGATCTCTCCCGGTCGCAGACGACGAGGATCATCGGCAGAATCGAATTCGGCGTCCTTCTGCTGTGCAGCGTCGAGCAGCTTCTCGTAGTGTTCGAGGCATTGCGCCGGCGTGCGCCCCACGATGGGGGCGATCGTGCGCCACTGGGTGGGCATCAGCTTAGCCAAATGCAGCAGCTTCTCTTCTTCCTCGCGGCTCCATTCGGTCTTCTTGATGCTCGGGTCCAGCCATTCGTACCAGCGCGCCTTGCATTGCTTCGCCGATTTTCGCACCAACAGCGACGAAATACGAGCCCACTGATTGAGGCCGTACTTCATCACCGCAGCCTTCAGAATCTCATCTTCCGTGTTCTTCCACACACCTCCCTTGATGATGATCCTCATCTTCGGTGCGAGCGATTCAACAATCAACTGCCACACGCGCTGCCAACCAAAACCACAGAAGAAAAGGCGAAGAAAAGGCGCCAACTCCGAATCCTTGCGCTAGGA